CTGTCTGTCTACCTCTCTGTCTCTCTCTCCCAGTGATTCTCAGATGGAGACAACTTACTCTCTAGAAGATGCCCAACATTGTGTGGAGACATGTCTGCGTGTCACAACTGTCTGTTTCGGGGGACATCTGGTGGGTGGAGCCAAAGGATGCTGCTCAAGATCCTATAGTACACAGGACGCCCCACCACAGAAAGTCCTCCAGCCCCACATGTGCTCAGCTTAAGAAACCCTAGGCCAGCACACAAGAGCCTTTATCTACCTATCTATCATCTATAGAAACCTGTGCTTCTATCTTGTCAATCATCTATCAATGTTTTAGTATCTATGTCATCTATCTATGTATCTATGCATATATCTATCATCTCTATCTATGTATCTATGTATCTATCTATCTATTATCTATCTTTTACTTATGGCAATGATTCTCAAGGAAGGGTGACTCTGCCTCCCCATCTCAAAGGGCACGAGGCAATACATGGTGATATTTTGGGTTGTCATAACTAGGGAGATTGGATGGTTACTAATGCCATCTAGAAGGTGAAGAACTAACCCCTAGACCTCAGGATGTGACTGTATTGGGAGCCAGAGGCGCTAAAGAGGTCATGAAGGAAAAATGAGGTCACTAGGGTGGGCTGGTGTCCTGATAGGAAGAGGGGATGAGGCCACGGACACACACAGAAGGATGACCCCATGAGGACACAGGGAGAAGACAGTGTCCACACCCCAAGGAGAGAGGCCTCAGGAGGGATCAGCCTGAGACACCTGGATCTCGGACTTCCAGCCTCTAGGACATGAGAGAATAAACGTCTGCAATTTAAGCTGCCTGGTCTGTGGAACTTTGTTAAGGTGACTTTAGCGGACAAATACAATAGAATTCCAATGTGTGAATAGACACAGTCTATTAACCCATTCTCTTGTTGATGAACTGGTTCCACATTTGAGCCAGTGGCATATCCGTGTCTTAACATACGTATAGGTTCATGCTGGGCTCATATCCAGGAGTTGCTGGGTCATGACGTATTCATGTGTCCACTTTAAGCTGACACTCCAAAATGCTGACACCTCCACCCACAGTGTCTGGGGTGTCCCATTCGCTCTTCTTGTCAACACTTGGTATGGTCTTTCTTTCTCAATCCAGCCACTCTAGAGGGGCATATGCTCGTATAATTCTGTAAGTTTTAGATTATTTCTTGAGCACTCTGTCTCTGTTCCCTGTCATTTTTAGGGTGCTTACTTTGTACTGTGCAGTACAAGATATGTTTCCTCACAACAAAGCTTTGAAATGGCCCATTGTATTAGTTTTTCAGTTGGTGCAGTAATAAACACCTATAAATGATACAGATTCATTTTCTTACAGTTCTAGGAGTCATCAAGATGCTACTGTGTTTCCCCCAAAATAAGACCTACTCAAAAAATAAGCCCTAGCAGTATTTCTATACATTTGTTAAATATAAGCCCTACCCTGATAATAAGACCTAGTGATGGATGTGGCTATGCAGATTGATGGGTGTGGTATGCAGATTGATGGGCAGCATATCTGCATAGCCACACCACACAGCACGGAGTGGTAAGGAAGTCTAGAATACCTTTATCTGCCACAGCTCCTTTCTCTGAGTCATGTGGTCACAGGCATCCTATTGTGCATGTGCGAGCAGCTAGGGGAAAGGAGTTCATGGATCACTAGTGCCAGCCCCACCAACAAGGTCAGCTCCCCTGGTAAGGTTCCAGAAGAAGATGACTTAACCATATTTGAATAAATGTAGATTGTTATATTATACTTAATAAAAATAAGACATCCCCTGAAAATAAGCCCTAGTGTGTCTTCTTGAGAAAAAATAATAAGACAGTGTCTTATTTTCAGGGAAACACGGTAGTAGGTTTGCATTATTTTTAGAGATTCCCTATATCCTTGGTTCATGGTTCCTTTCCTGGTTAAAGGTCCCATTTCTGTGTTCATGTGACCCTCTCAGACTCTGATCCTCACCACCCTGGTAAGGGTGCCTGTGATGACATCCGACCCAGCCATATAACCCAGGACAATTTCTCTCTCCATCTCAAGATCCTCATCTTAGTCATGTGTGCAAAGTTGCAAAGATCCCATCGTCACAGACTCCTATCATTAGGCGGTGGACATTTTAAGGGGCCATTTCTCCACCTGTCACACCCACCCAGAGCCTGTCTGAACTCAAGACTTCACCTCAATATCAATTCAAATATCTAAACAGAAAAACAAAATGGCAAACATATCCAGTCACCACTGGAGAGTCCGAGTCTCATGGTTGTGAATCCAAATAACTACAACTTTCATGTGTAGGCATACAATGCAATATTCTTTACATAAACACAAGGAAGATGATGAGATTTCATATTTCCCTTCCACCATTTTCCCCTATATCTCAACCATCAGGAGCAAATTATCAGACACAATAGAGCAGGTGTCCTCAAACTACGGCCTGCAGGCCACATGCAGCCCACCTAGGACATTTATCCAGCCCACAGGGTGTTTTTGCCGCCACTGCCTGTCCTGCTTAGCAGCAGACTTGTCCTGGGGCCCACACTCTGGCTCTCCAGTGGTCTGCGGGACAGTGAACTGGTCCCCTGTTTAAAAAGTTTGAGGAACCCTGCAATAGAGTATGTACCATATTTCCTGAAAATAAGACACTGTCTTATATTTATTTTGTCTCAAGAAGATACACCAGGGCTTATTTTCAGGGGATATCTTTCTGCTGCAAAATGTAAGGCACAGCCATGCACAGCCACGCCCATCTGCATAGCCATACTCACCAATCTGCATAGCCACACCCACCAATCTGCATAGCCACACCCACTACTAGGTCTTATTATCAGGGTAGGGCTTATATTTAACAAATGCATAGAAGTCCTGCTAGGGCTTGTTTTGGGGGTAGGTCTTATTTGGGGGGAAACACAGCAGACACTGATGTGTCCTTTGATCTGATGTCCCTGTGACACCAACCTGATCTGAAGGCATGTCTCCCGGTGAGGAAGGCAGCTCGGCTGGGCGTGCAGAGAGGGGCGGCTGCTAAGTGCTGAGTGAGCCTCACGCCTTCCTCTGCAAGGTGGTCGATGTTTGGGGTCCTGAGCAAACAAATTCCATTGTCAAAAAAGGTATGCATTCAGCTTAAGCAGATTCCTGAATTTAAAGGCATCAAAACGAATTGTATCTGTCTTACTACAGAGACTTCATGGCACTTTAGAATTATTTGTAGAGACAGATGGACATCATTTTTTTTAATTTGTCCTCATCAAGGTGATTTGGGACAACATTCATAAAAATATTACCCTTAACAGCCTCTCACTCATTGATACACTCTTTCGTTTAGTGACACTGGCTAGCAGAATCATAGTTATTTTAAATTAAAATAGAAAGAGTCAGGCTGGGCACGGTGGCTCACGCCTGTAATCCTAGGACTCTGGGAAGCTCAGGTGGATGGCCTGTCCTGAGCTCACAGGTTTGAGACCAGCCTGAGCCAGAGCATGACCATTTCTCTAAAAATAGCCAGGCATTGTGGTGGGTTCCTGTGATCCCAGTTACTTGGGAGGCTGAGGCAAGAGAATCACTTGAGCCCAAGAGTTGGAGGTTGCTATGAACTATGATGTTACAGCACTCTACAGAGGGTAACAAAGTGAGACTGTGTCTAAATAAAATTAAATAGGTAGAGTAGGCCAGGCACAGAGGCTCATTCCTGTAATTCCAGCACTCTGGGAGGTGAAGGCAGGAGGATCCCTTGAGCTCAAGAGTCTGAGACCAAGCTGAGCAAGAACAAGACCCCAGTCTCTACTAAAAATGGAAAAACTAGCCAGGCGTGGTGGCAGGTGTCTGTAGTCCCAGTTACTTGGGAGGCTGAGGCAGAGGGATCACTTGTGCCCAGGAGTTTCAGGTTGCTGTGAGATAGGCTGATGCCAGGACACTCTATACTCAGGGGACAGAATGAGACTTTGTCTCAAATAAATAGACAGAAATAAAGCAGGATGAGTAACAGAACTTGAGAAGATGATGGGAATATGCTGAGCCCTCGGTCTGGTTAAGAGTTTGTCTGCTGAGCTGATGGGGAAGATTAACTCCTCTGTGTCTGCATGTGCCTGATGTGGTAGGCTAAACAGTGGTCCCCAAACACATCTGTGCAGGTGCAAACTCCTAGAACCTGACAACAGGACCCTCATTTGGAAAAAGAATCTTTGCTATGAAGCATCCTGCCATGATATCATCCTGGATAAAGGTGAACCCTAAATCCAAGGCCAGGTGTCCTCCTGAGAGACAGCAGAGGAGACACAGACATAGAGCAGAAGCCGCATGGAGATGGAGGCAGAGACTGGAGTGATGTGGCCACAAACCCAGGGACACCTGGAGCCCCCAGGGGCTGGGAGAAGCAAAAGGCAGCTGAATGCAATTGTGATGAGTTGAATCACGACCCCAAAATACATACTCATATCCTATCACCCAGAGCATATGAACAGAACTCAGTTTGGCAAGAGAGTCTCTGCAGATGTAATTGGTGAGACATCTCAAAATGAAACCATCGTGAATTAGGGAGGGCCCTAACCTAGTGGCAGGTGTCCTCCTAAGAGACAGCAGAGGAGACACAGACACAGAGGAGAAGCCACGTGGAGACAGAGGTGGAGACAGAGGCAGAGACTGGAGTGATGTGGCCACAAGACCAGGGATGCCTGGAGCCCCCAGGAGCTGGGAGAGGCAGGAAGAGCCTCCCCTGGGGCCTGTGGAGGGACCAGCCTTGAGACACGTGCATTTCAAATGTCTGAGCTCTAGGATTAAGAAAGAATAAATTCCTGTTGTTTTTAACTTATATTATTCATGGTAACTTATTGGGGTAGCTGTCAGAAACTATATACCCACCCACTATCCACAGTTTCACATTGTCTAAAAGGTCTAAGTCGTTCTTTTCCTGTTTGAACAGGGTATTTTTGAGGTCCAGTCTTGAGGCACTAATGATTTTCCTAATTTCTACACGCAGATTTGAAGTGCACCCTTCAGTCACTAACACACACACAACACACTGTCACCCACAGCAACAGGACCCCGTACCTCAGAGTATTGTTCCCATAGCAACCAAGGTCCCCGATGCCCAGATCATCGGCCATTATCAGCAGAATATTTGGTTTAAAGGCAGTTTCCACTGCTGCCCCTGCCCCAGGAAGGTCGCAAGTCCCCAGAAGCAAACAGACAAGGTGCAGAACCAGCAACGAGTCCCTGGGCAGAGGAACAAAAGGGAAAAATCAATGTGGATGATTTACGAGGGAAAAAGAGGCATTTCCAGGCCGGGTGCAGTGGCTCACTCCTGTAATCCCCGCACCCTCGGAAGGAAGCCCAGGTACGCGGATTGCCTGAGCTCAGGACTTCAAGACCAGCCTGAGCAAGAGTGATCCTATCTTTAAAAACAGCCAGGCGTGTGGCAGGTGCCTGTAGTTGCAGCTACTAGGGAGGCTGAGGCAGGAGAATCGTTTACACCCAGGAGGTTGAGGTTGCTGTGAACTCTGATGCTGTGAGCACTCTACCCAGGGGGACAGAGTGAGACTCTGTCTCAAAAAATAAATAAATAAAGGCATTTCCAGCTACCTAGCACAGATGCAAAGGCACAGCTGTGTCTGTTAAAGCAAAATGTTGAATGAAATTTTTGAGAGGCCCCTGCAGCAAGGCCTAGCACATCAGACCAAAGCCAGCCGGAGTCACTTGTGTAAATTTGCGTCATGAAGCCAAACTCTGAAAGGGACCAGTTTTCCAAAAACTAGGAGATTGACAGCAACACATCAGAATGAGCCTGGTTTGCGTGAACTGGTGTATGACAATTCTTTCTATCTGTATGATAATCTGTAAGAAAAGTGACTTTGGGATGACACTGCTTTTAAAAATATTCATCCCTGCTTTCTTCAATCCTTTCCTGCCTACCAAGCATAAACTCTCCTCAGTTCCTGGAGCATTCTTACTTAACAGCACCAGGAACTGACGGATTCTAGAATTATGAATTAAAGCCAATTCAGTTCTTAAATGGGTTGTAATTTTACCTTTTGACCCAAACCAGCTTGCTGGGCAGGCTTACCACCAAATCAAAATGTGGCTAGGTATGATGCAGGATTTACTCATAAAATGTCACCTTTTGCTTCTTATTCTTTTTTTTTTTGAAACAGAGTCTGGGCTTGGCACCCGTAGCTCAGTGGTTACGGCACCAGCCACATACACCCAAGTTGGTGGGTTCCAGCCCAGCC